CTGGGTCACATTGCGTTGCCGTTGTTCAAAGCCTGTGGAATGGTTTAGTGAAGATATGAAGTCATGAAAAGAAGGTGAGACCAGCAACTGTGGATGGCAGTAGTCGACGACAAGACCTAGGCCATCAGTTTGTCACTGTGTTCCATCCCTTCCTCACTGGGAACATCAGAGCATGTGGCATGGCTTGGTTCTCCCTCCTTCTATGATCTGTCATTCCCATGTGCATGGTCACCAAGGGGCATGGTGTCAATTTTAGGTTACAGACCACAGTCCCTGGGTTTTTGTGGCCCACCCCAAATAGGGCCATGCATGTAAACTGGGTCTTGTAGCTTTCCTGGGGAGCTGGCAGGCCTGCACAGTTGTCACTCTGTCTTGCATTTAGAGTCTGGTGTGAGGTCAGGGTCCATGGCTCTAAAGGGGTTTCCAGACCTCATTCCATGCTTGGCCTCTGACTTGTCAGCCTGGCCTTCACACATGACTGGAGTTGAGATCTCTAGCAGAAGGTGAAGGCTGCAAAGGAGGCAAAAGTTAAAGAAAAGAAAAGTCAGGGATAGGGTGAGAGTGGGGGTGGGGAAACAAGCCACGCCCTTCCCTTCTCAGTGCAGGCCACAGGGTCCCATTTTCAACCCCTACTGCAAAGAAAAGAGCAGCTGCTCCTGCGCTGATACTTTCCCACTCACTGGCATTCTGATCATCTCTGCTGAGGTGTCAGTGTCACCTCCATTAGCCTTGTTACCCTGCTGTACCTGTGATACTGTGCAGCTGCCTCCCCAGCTGCCAGCTCCCCTCCTAGGTTCTGCAGTGCCCCACAGGGGCCCTCCCAGCAAGAGCGCCTCTCTGGCCTTTGCTGCTCTGAGCTCTCCTTCTCCTCATGTCTCGCCTTTACCTGTGTTCATGTGTTCATAAGGACTCAGGGCTTTTAAAAAAGGCATTTTTGGAAACAAACTGAGTTCCATAAGAGGAAGAAGAAAGTTGTGTGTGTGTGTGTTTAAATGTATTTACTGGACCAGGCTCATAAAATTCAATGTTTATATACTTCCTTCTGCCCTATGATATGGGACAGCATGGGTCTTGGCATATAGTAATTGCTCAATAAATACCTGTTCCTTAAAGGGATGAGTACATGAAGGAAGGCTTGAGCAAGTGTGAAGCTGAGCTGTTCTGATTCAGCACCTTGTTGAACTGGTCCTGGATGGCCTGGTGTCTCTCTCCTCTTCCTCCAACCCTCGCTTGGCAGTTTCTGAATTGCCTCTGAGCAGGTCTGTGCTAGATACTGGGAAGACAAAGGTGACTGCCCAGGGCCTTACCCATTCTCACATCTCCGCTTCCCCTCCCCCCTGCAGCCCACTCCATGATCCTCAGGGAATCATCCAGCATCTCAATGCCATAGTGGTCATGGGAAGGGAAGTCTGTGTTGGAGCCCTGGCTCCAAGGCCTGAGGAAATTGGACTTGCCAGGCCTCTAGAAACAAAAGGATAAGGACTTGGTCCCTAAATAATGTGTCACAAGCCCTGTTCCCCACCTCCCTGCACCCCGGTCACACCCCTGGTTGTTCTACCATGTTGGCTGGTTTGGGGGAGTTAGAAGTTCTAGCAGTAGAGACCTAGCTGCAGAGCCACAGTTTTAGGAAGCTGCTGCATGGGCCCGGGGCACAGCAGTTTTCCTTTGTCATCTTTCCTAAACAGTGGCCCTGAACAAGTGCTTGCTGCTTGCAGCTCCTCTGGGTGGCTCCAAAAAGCAGGTGATACCTGACTTGTGAGAGAGCAGCCCCTGTAACATCCAGTGTGTGATGCTGTGAAAGTTCTACAGAACAGCCTGTGCCTGCTTGGACCAGGGATGTGCTGTTGCTGATAGGAACTACCACTAGCCAGGAGGCAGGAACAGCAGCCACCCAGGTAAGCAGCGCACTGTTGTGTGGGCCTGCGATCTCTCCTTTTTGGCTTGGTCTTCATCACACTCTCTGGGCAGAGCAAGTGTCAAAGGAAAACATCAGAAGACTGCCCCAGGGACTCTTAGCTCTGATCAGGGCTTGCTGAATGGACTTCTCTGTGGGGAGAGGTCCTGGCACTGCTGGGGTTGCTACACATGCTGCTGCTAGCCAGCTGTTGTGTGTGGTTAGCCAGCTACCATCCTACCAGACTGCCAGTGCCTGCTGCACTTGGCCTCCAGTGCAAGAGTGGCAGGCACTGGGCCTGGTGGGCGGGGCTGTGCTCAGTGCTTCTGCTGTGGCCCAGCATGTTCTTGGCTGAGCCACACCGGAGGCCCTCATGATCCTGCATAATTTCTGTGGTGTTGAAATCTTTGGCCAGCATTTGTTCTTGTGCTGAACTTGTGTGTTGTGTCACTGAACCTGAGAGGAAGGTGCTGCCATTTGGTCGTCTCATAGATGAAGAACTTAGGCTCCGGGAGCTTCCACGTGGGTGAGGACATAGCTGACAAGTGGCAGAACTGGTCCTGTAGTAGGTCTGCGTAACTAAGCCTGTACGCCGTGTATTCGGGTATTTTCAAGTCATTTATGTCTTTGAGACTGGACTTAACTAACTCTGTAGCCCATGCTGGTCTTGAACTATTGATCTTCTGGCTTCTGCCTCTCTGGAGTACTAGGATTTCAGATGTGTGCACCACTATACCTGGTTCTATACTGTGCCAGGGATGGGACCAGGGCTATATGCATGCTAAACAGACAGATACTCTACAAACTGAATTACATTCTCAGGCCTTTTGTGATTTTTTTTTTTTTTTTTTTGAGGCAGCACTCATAGAGTCCAGCCTAGTCTTGAACTTCTGACGCCAGTCTTTCAAGTCCTGGCATTAAGGGCATAGCAGGTCTCAGGACCTTTAAAGTGCTGTTTTCTGTTTGCCATAGGCACACTTGCATTTAGGTGGAGCAGTATTGTTTCTCCTCAGAGCTTGGGTCCAACACAGGGCTTCTTCTCCTCTGTTCTGTCTTCTAGACCTGAAGTTTGGGGGTAGCAGTGTGAGGTATAGACGCAGTACAGGGTGGGAGGTGGGATTTTGATTTCTTTCCTTTTGAATCTTTTCATTATGAAGAATTTATAAGAATTTCCTTCCTGGGCTGGTGAGATGGCTCAGTGGTTAAGAGCACTGACTGCTCTTCTGGAGGTCCTGAGTTCCAATCCCAACAACCACATGGTGACTCACAACCATCTGTAATGGGATCTGATGCCCTCTTATGGGTATCTGAAGACAGCTACAGTGTGCTTACATATAATAAACAAACAAACAAACAAACAAACCTTTGGACTGGAGCGAGTGAGGCCGGAGCAAGAGGGAGAAGGGAAAAGGGGAAAAAAAAAAAAGAATTTCCTTCCTTCCTCTCACGTGTGTGTGTATGTGTGTTTGTGTGTGATGTGTTCATATATGTTCAGATACGCATACATGTGCATGCATGCATATGTGGGTGTGAGTCCAAGGTTGTGTTAAAAGTCTTCCTTTGTCACTCTCTACCTCATTCAATGTGGCCAGGCCCCTCTGTTTAACACAGAGCTCACCACAGTGGGCTAGTCTGGCTAGCCAACTGGCTTCTACATCCCTTGACTCTTATCTTTAGAGCACTGGAATTACAGGTCAGCAGCCAGGCTGAGCCTGAGTTTGTATGGGTTCTGGGGATCTGAGTGCCTGGTTGAGACAGTGTGGGTTACAGTGAAGTATGACGTTCAGAACCTGTTGCCCTTGCATGATGTAGCAGGTATGGAGTTATTCTCTTTCTTAGACCAGATGTATCCATATGCCCAGGGTGGAGTCTGGGTTTCTTGACTCTGTCCCAGCCTATTGGTGCTGAGGCTTGGGTGCGGTGGGCACATACCTCATGATGCCTAGCCAAGTTTATTTAGAGGCTGGGCAATGTGAAGCCTTCAGGGGATGATGGCTGGTGGTGCTCCCCACTTAAGTAGCTCCTTAGTAGCAGGTAGCCATGCCACTCGTTCTTTCTACCAGGACACGTGGAACATGAAAAGAGACAGATCAGGCCTAAACCAGGGTGAAGACCACGGCAAAGCCGGCTTGTCATCGTTGCTCATTACTTTTTCTCTTCACCCAGGGATGCCATTCCCTTCCTATTACAGACAGAGAAACTGAACCCAGAGAAGGTGGCTTCTGTCTGTCACCTTGGCTCTTAGTTCCCAAATGCCTTCTAGGCCGAGTCATCACCACGGCTCCCAGGCAAGCTCTAACAAGGGTAGAGGGCCCTTAATCTCCTCAGAGCCAAAACCTTCTGGAAACTAGCAACCTTTACAATAAGAACACTCAACATGAATGCTCTAAAACATGTACCTAGGAAAGATGAGAAAACATAAGCATGGAACGTCCTGTCAGCAGAAAGGCGATTCCTGGTGTGTTTGCTTCCTCCTGGCTGCCCCAGGCTTGGCTGTGACTTATCATACAGATGACAGCTGGCTTTTGGGACAGTGACAGGGGAGGACTCCTGACCTCTGCCTGCCCTGTCAGAGCAACTTTCTGCCTGGATCAGTTGGTTTTTTTTCTCTTCTGACTGCCTGTGAAGGTGGTTTGATGATTGTTTTTTTCCTGTTTCAGTGAGGGCATAGGTGTGACAGTTTCCTTCTGTGACCTGTGGAGAGGACTGCAGTTGCAGGGTACTTACGGAGACCTGAGGTCACTAGAACACTAAATGTAACAATCAGGGACATAGCTGGGCCCTTGGTGTTGAGGCCTATAAAGCCCTTTGGTTTGGGGCAGGGGGATGGGGATGGGTGTTTAAATCAGGTTCAGACAAAAGTAGTCATGTATCAAGGTCTGGGGCCAAATTTAGTCTGTATCCCTGCAGCCTGGCCCCTCTCTCATCCTTTCCAGTCAGCTCCCTGCCATCTAGTGCTGTGGCTGCTAAGTAGCTTTACAGAGTTTTCATCTGTCTTAGGGTTTTGGGGGCAGAAATGTCTGGGGCTCCATCGATGTGTTCTGGACCCTAGGACCCCTCCTGTGGGTGACTTTTCCTTAAACTGGGCATTGCTTTGTGTTTGTAGGAAAAGATGGAGGGGCTGAAAGACAAGACCCTGCAGGAGCTGGAGGAGATGCAGAATGACCCAGAAGCCATTGCCCGGCTGGCCTTGGAATCTCCTGAGGTACAGGGAGGCTGGCAGATGCTGTTGCTGTTGCTAATTCTTTTTTTTTTTCTCTTCTTCTTCCTCTTTTTTAAGTAATTGTTCACTCAATATCCTAAACAAATTTATTTATTTTACTCTGTGTGTGTGTGTATGAGAGAGACAGAGAGAGACAGAGAGAGAAAGGGAGGGAGAGAGAGACACACACACAGACACACAGACACACATATGGATGAATGTGCACCAGGTGTGTGCAAGAACCCAGAGAGGTCATCAGAAGATGCTGAACCCCCTGGAACTGGAATTACTATGGTGAGCTGCCATGTGAGTGCTAGGAATTGAACCCTGGTCCTCTATAAGAGTAATCAGTACTTTTAACTGCTAAGCCATATCACCAGCCTCACTTTTAAATTTCTAATACATTTATTGAGTGTGTGTGTGTATGTTTGTGTGTGTCTTTGTGTATGTCTGTATATATGTGTGTGCCAAGTATAACTTGGAAGAAATGATACTTTCTTTCTACTGTAAGAGCCCCAGAGATTGAACTCATGTTGTTAGCTTGGTGGCAAGGGCCCTTACCCACTGAGCCATCCCACCCACCCACCCTGACAAATGCTTGTCAAGGATTCGTGCTTAGCAGGAGCTTGAGCCAGGATTCACCTTGTGCTGTGAATTTTACCTTGCCTTTTACTAGAGGAGCCCTGAGGTTTCAAACCAGGGTCTGGGTCCTCTTGGAGCCTCCGGAATAGAAGGGAGTGCCAGGTCCATCTTGGACTAGGACAGCCAGGACTCAGGTGGCCCAGGAATCTTCACACTGTTCCAGAGTGGGTCTAGAGACAGCTCCCTGATGCACTAGGGAGTAGGGGTGGGGGAATCTTCCCCTCATTGTGATATTCTCACTCATGTTTCATACTGTTTGCCATTGCAGCCAGCACCCCACCTCTCAGCTTCCAATCGCAGGGTCCTTACAGGAATAAGCACCGCCCTACTGTCTCTACAGAGCTTGACTCGGCCCTCACTGTCACTATTTCCCGTGACCGTCCTGTGAGCTGGAGGTGACTTGATGTGGTCACCCAGCTAGAAATACCCACAGGTACCCCCAGAGTAGCTGCAGCTGGTCATTGGCCTGGAAGCATCTGTTTGAGGGAGGGAAGGGAGCTCAGGTAAGACTAAGCTCCTCATGTGTGCTCTTTTTCCCGAGGAGCAGATGTGGCATGTGTTCTGTGAATTCACTGTGTTAAAGAACAGGAAGTTGTCCAATTAGCGTCCAGTCATCCTCCCTGGAGCCTTACCCTTGCTTCATGGGTGCACATGCTACATGGTCCTGTATCCACCTCTGCTGTGCTTTCTGCTGCCACCTGCTCCCCTACCCTGGCCAGGCTTCTCTGCTGGATTGGAGATGATGCAGGGTTGGGTTAGAAACACCTCCTTGCAGGCAGGGAGTAGGAGAGGTCTTTGTGTGACTCATCTCACAACCCTGGGCAGGATGACCTTGTTTCAGCAGCATAGGACCAAAGTCACATACAGTCTGAGTGTCCCTTACCCCAAATTCTTCGGATGTGAGTATTTCAGATTTTATATGTCTTGAATATTGAAATGTTCTGTGTAGTTTTTATTTACTAGTTAGATATCCACAACACAAACCCCCCCCCTCACACACACACAGAAATTCTGAGACATTCTCAAATCCAGAATTCTGTGAGTGTCACATAGGCTCTTTGAAATCCAGAACAATAGTGTCACTGATAGGTGTCTGCTCTTAGATTTTGTGTTGCTGGATGTTTGCCATTAAACTCCAAGGGTCTCTTCTTTTTACTGTGTCCTATCTCTATGCACGAACATACATGTGCATACATGCCACCTCACAAGTGTGGAAGTCAAAGGACAACTTTCAGGAGTTGGTTCCTTCCTACCATTTGGGGCCAAGGGTTCAAACTCAGGTCAGTCAGGCTTAGCAGCAAGCACTTTTACCTACTGAGCCATCTGGTTAGCCCCAAGGATTTCTTCAGTCAGCAATGAGCAACAGAATGTTAAGGGGATTCCCAGGCTTGTTCCTGAAGGGAGAGGAACTCAGCAAAAACAAGCCTGTACCCAGCTCTCGTCCACTGCTTCCAAGCTGAGCAAGTCTTCAGCCCTGTGGAAAGCGTAACCTCCTGTGATGGAAGGGATGCAGCTTTCTAGCCATGTCTGAGCAATTGAGTTGAATTTTTGAGGGGAAAAATACTCACTGTGGGACAGACAGATAGACAGAAACAAAGTAGGGCATCAGTGTGGGGCCGTGAAAAGAGCTGGCAGAAGGGAAAAGTGGTGGAGTGTTCATCTCTCTAGAGAGTGAGTGCAGGGGCTACAGCGTGGGGAACTCCAGGGGGCTGTGGAACTCTACTGGCCTCATAGGGTGTTTGTAAGAGATGGGCTCCAGGGTAGGGAGCAGTGGAAATGTGTAGACAAGCCTCAGAGAGGAGGGCACAGCATGGGTAGTGCTTCAGACCCAGGGAAAAGCCATGGACAGGTAAGGACGCCCAAGGGTATGTGGCCAGGAAGAGCAGGCCCCAAACTCATAATTGGCCACACAAGTGTCCCTGGCTTTTCTTTTCCTTTCTTTTCTTTTCTAACATTGTAATTTTGTGGTTTTTAAAAAACTGACTGGCAGTTAAATAGGGGCCTGAATGAGGGCTCAATTGAGGGACTATCTATAGCTCTATAGGCTGTGTTTGACCTGGGAGGCAGGCGTGTCTGTGTGTGGGTTTGTGCATGTTTGGTGCAGTGTCTTTGGAGGCCAGAAGAGTCTGTTAGATCCCCTGGAGCTGAAGTGGCAAGTAGTGTGGGCCACTTGACATGGGTCCTGGGAACCAAACTCAAGTCCTCTAGATGAGCAGTATGTGCTCTTAATTGTTGAGCCATCCTCCAGCCTCCTTGGCTAACATTCACACGTACCAGTTCCTGCTTCTATGACTGTGAGCTTGTCCAGGGGCTAAATGGCATTTCTGGCTGGAAAGAAGACAGTCTAGGTAAAGGGGTTCTAAGCCTGAGCCCTAACACCCTTGTCTGTGGAGGGGATAACTGGCAACATTCCTCTTTCAAGTAGGCTGCAGCCTGCTGTAGGCTACAGGGCTTGAAGCCCTGAGCTAGGATCAGAGCAGGGTGGTCCTTCTGGAAACCCCTTATTCAGGATGCCCCCTGGCTTCCTGTGGCTGCTCTAGAGGAAGCTCGTCTGGCCTGGTGTGCCATGTGCTGGCCAAGGTGGAGGGAAAAGCTCTGTGTTGCTGACCCCTTGATTCCCTGTGGAAGCTGGTCTTGTTGACCTGTTCCCTAACTTCCTGAGTCCCCTCTTCTGGTGCCACATGGTACTGTGATGCTTGGTGGCCTTGTCTCCAGCTCTCCTCTCAGTGAAGCAGATGCCTTCCCATGCTAGGCCTGCTGGGCACGGTTCCAAGGCTTCTGTATGACTGGCAGTTACATAGGGGCCTGAATGAGGGCTCGATGTGCCGGCTAGGGATGCATTTTCAGCAGACGGCATTGAGGGACTGCAGCTCTGTAGGCCGTGTTTGACCTGGGAGGGAGGGATATCTGCACTGCTGCAGTGTCTTGGGCTACCACAGGGCCCTGCCTACCACAGGTTTTTTTTTTCCCTAATACTTTTGGGACTTCATGACATTTCTAGCTTCTGGTCTGGCCTGGGCCACCTGCATTCTCTCTAGCAGCCTCTTATGTGTATGCATACATGGTGTGTGTGTCCACATGTCTTTTTCATGTGGGGCTAATGATGGGGACTCTGAGTTTCTTCCCACCCACTGGAGTGGATCTTCTCCCTCACCTGTGGCCTGTACAGCACAGAACTACTTGCAGGTGCTTGTCTATTGGGAAGCCTTGGGTAGGTATTTAGCCTTGGTGCCTGTTTCCCATGTGTCTTCCTCACAGGCTCTCCTGGTCAGGATGAGGTGAGGCACCTGGGCCACAGTGTCTGTGTAGCCTTTAAACCCAGGCTCCTGTGACTGGTTGAGGGCTGAGCACCAAGATTAGCAGTGAGTCCATGAGCGACCCCTGCTGGAGGCTGACCAATTACAGTTAAACTCATTTTCAGTTGTCCTGCTTTCCTTAGGTTCAGGACCTGCAGTTAGAACGAGAGATGGCACTGGCCACCAACCGGAGCCTGGCAGAGCAGAACCTGGAGTTCCAAGGTCCCCTGGAAATCAGCCGCTCTAACCTCTCAGACAAATACCAGGAGCTGCGGAAGCTTGTGGAACGGTGCCAGGAGCAGAAAGCCAAGCTGGGTAGGGACAGCTGACCACGGACAAGCACTCTGGCCATCTCTCCTGCTGATTGATACTTCTGTTCAAGGGAAGATGAAGGAGGCAGCTGGAATACCAAGGATGCTTACATACCCAGAATAGGAAAGGACCAGCAGCCATTGTAGCCACTGTGCTTCATGCCGTGGGCTAAGCACTTTGCATGTTTTTACACGATAAGCAAAGGTGTATGAATTATGGTTAGTCTAAATGGTTGAGTATTTATATTTTATTGTAAACCCTGGTGATATTTTTTATAGTATTAAAAATGGCTTGAATTTACTATTTTTATATATGAGGAAAACAAGGCTGGAGACATTCAGGGGCTTACCTGAGGTCATGCCACTAGAGTTAGGTGGAGTTTGCAAGTACATCCTGTAACAGCTGAGCATCTCCCCAGCCCTGGAATTGGGATTTGAATCTAGGCAGCCAGTATCTGCCTCTGCCAACTTAGCCCTGAGCCTTGAAGAGCTGGCCTAGGCCTTGTGGAGGTAGGAAAGCTTCCTGGATGACTGTGCCCATGGGGAGCTGCTTGGCCAAGACCTGAGCTCTGTCTTTAAGCTTCTCTTTACTCAAGACAGTGAAAACCTACATGAGCCAAACGGACCCCACAGAACTAGCTGCAGGGACTCTCCAATGGGCCCTGTTGTGGCTGGGTCCTGAGTGCTCACAGAACCAGCAGCAGGGACTCTCCAGTGGGCCCTGGAGTGGCTAGGCCCAAGCACACAGAAGGCATACTACATGTCTTCTCTGAAATCAGGGTCCTCAGCTTTAATTAAAGCAATACTTTTGAAATGTCAACCTCTCTGCCCTTCCTTCCAGAGAAATTTTCCTCAGCACTGCAGCCTGGGAGTTTATTGGACCTTCTGCAGATCGAAGGCATGAAGATCGAGGAGGAGTCTGAGGTGAGGTGGGGAGTGGCATCCTAATCCCTTGAACAGGGTAGTGGCCCTTGAGCCAGGTCTCAGGTGAGCCTAAGAACCACAGAGCAGAAGGTTTTGGAACGTTGCTTGAGTGGATGGCACTGGAGTACAGTGGACACACTTTGGTTGTAATACAGTATAAGAACACATTCTAGCCGGGCGGTGGTGGCGCACGCCTTTAATCCCAGCACTTGGGAGGCAGAGGCAGGTGGATTTCTGAGTTCGAGGCCAGCCTGGTCTACAGTGTGAGTTCCAGGACAGCCAGGGCTACACAGAGAGACCCTGTCTCGAAAAACCAAAAAAAAAAAAAAAAAAAGAAACACATTCTAAGACCCCAGCACACACTCGAAACCACAGTCAGCACTCGCTTCTGTGTAGATAGTACTGTTTTTCCTGTACATATATGTCTATGATAATATAATGTATAAAGCAGGTTCAATGAGAGCTTACAGTAACCATAGGCTGGGGAGATAGCCCAGGCGATAAAGTGCTTGCCACACAAGCATGCCAACCTGAGTTTGATCCCCATATAACAAGCCAGGCAAGGTGGTACATGCTTGTCTTCCCAGTGCCGGGAGGGAGAGACAGGCAGATCCCTGCGGTTTGCTGGCAGGCAGTCTAGCTGAATTGGTGAACCTGTAATAGAGACTCTGTCTCAGGAAATAAGGTGAACAGTGCCTGAAGAATGATCCCTGAAGTTGGCCTCTCAACCCAATATGCACATGTGTGCTTGTTCCCCCTTGCTCATGTGTATTCATACATGCACACACACATACATGAACAGTAAATAATAATAGAACAGCTATAACAATATTTTATAGCGAAAGTTACTTAAAACTTACAGATTATTTCTAGAATTTTCCGTGCAATGTTTTTGATCATCAGAGGATCTCTAGTATCTGAAATCACAGTTAAAGGGGCTTTACTACACCAGGACCCCAGTTGATTCAGGAGTGAGCAACCGACAGGAGGCCCCAGGGAGCTCACACACCTGGATGGGTGGTGCTACAGACCTAGGCCCCTGCTCCTGGGCTCTCTGCTGTCTCCTCCCTCTTGAGGTACCTTTTATCTCAGTGGGCAGAGACATTGTTGTGTTTTGGATGCAGCACAGGAGCTAGCATACAAGTCACTAGGATAGGCCCAGCTGTTGAACAGACTTGTGTGACCACCAAGGACCTGGCACAGTGCTGGGTAGGGGCAGTGTGACCATGGAAGACATGGTCCTTCCTGCCGTTAAGGAGCTGGCACTCTGGTGAGGGAGTCACTCTGAACGGGCCAGGGGAAGCTGTAGAAGGCCTCTGTTGTCAACAGTTCTTGTGTCTTGTAGGCCATGGCTGAGAAATTCCTGGAAGGTGAGGTGCCCTTGGAAACGTTCTTAGAGTCCTTTTCTTCCATGAGGACACTGCTGCACCTGCGCCGAGTCCGCGTAGAGAAGCTCCAGGACGTGGTGAGGCGGCCTCGAGCTTTGCCGGAGCTTGCTGGAGATGCACCTCCAAAGCGCCCACCACCCCCACGCCCAGTGCCCCAGGCAACACCCCCCGAGACTGAAGAACAGACTCCACAGCCCTCTGTAGTGACTCCCTACCCTCTGCCCTACAGCCCATCCCCAGGCTTGCCTGTGGGCCCTACAGCCCAGGGAGCCCTGCAGCCAGCCCCCTTCCCTGTGGTGGCCCAGCCTTCCTCCTATGGTGGGCCTCTGGGTCCTCCTTACCCATCACCTCAGCCAGGACCTAGGGCCATGGTGGGTTACTCCTGGGCTCCACAGAGGAGTAGTCTGCCCCAGCCCAGCTATCCTATGGTTCCAACTAGCACCTCTGGTCCAGGATACCCCTTAGTGGGGGGCCGAACTCCTGGTCCTGGTTATCCTCAACAGTCCCCCTACCTCCCATCAGGAAACAAACCTCCCTACCCAACACAACCTCAGCTCCCGGGCTTCCCAGGACAGCCCCAGCCTCCAGTGCCCCCTCAACCTCCATACCCTCCTGGGACAACCCCTCCCTATGGCTTTCACCCTTCAGGACCTGCCTGGCCTAGGTATTAGTCCTGGTCCGTGTCCACCTTCTTCCTTCTACCTGCACCACAGCCTTTGGCCTCCATTTGCTGAGATTTGAGGTTAACACTGGACATGGAGGTGATGCGCCCTGAAACGTTGGGACACACAGAAGCCTCGAGCCTCTAGTTGGAAGCACATAGGCCTCTTGAAAGGCCCTGAACGGTGCAGCATGAGTCCTTCTGGGAGCTCCTTCTATCAGGGATCAGCTCAGCACATCCTGAGTGGCCTGGTGTGAGCCCAGGGCTCTCTGGTGTCTGCATGAATGGGTGTGTTCATGTCTTTGCACAGCCACCTGCGCTTGATCCCTGACAGCTGAACCAATGTAGAAAGATCTTGATGGCAGGGGTGACCCTGGGTCTCAGACCCTGCTCATCCAGGCTGTCCCTTGGAACTTGGTCTATTTGATATGAAACCATATGCCAAGTAATGACAGCTCTGTCTGTCCATTAAAGGAAGGTCTATCTTATTTACCATGGTCGGGTCGTAGGAAGCAAGAGTTAGGAAAAATAGGGACTTGGAGTCCTGAAAGCCATATTTTAGCTGCCATGTCAATGTCAGGCAAGTGCTGGCAGGGGCCACAGCAGCAGTGGTATGGTGAGAGCTGGGGATGCCAAGGGAAACTCAGGCCTCAAACTGAATGGTTGGATGTCCCAGGGTCACCCTGGAGGCCCTGGCTGGGGTGGAGGACCAGGGTTACCTCCCAGCCACTTTCACTCCTGGGGCCCTCCACTTCTGGCTGGCTTTTTCTGAGGTTTGCCCACCCCTCCACTCCTTTAGTGCCTTGAATCTTATTTGCTAGCAGCCCCTTTATCTTGTGTATCTCCTTCCTTTTTCCAATGTCCCTGCAGAACAGACACCAGACCTACCCTTACAGAACATCCCCATGGTGCTTCCCAGACACCGTCACTACACTGGGCTTGGTTTCTCTACACTCTCATTTTCAGAGTGTAAAGGGTAGGGACTGTGAGTGCAGCCTCAGCACTGGATGGGGCCGAAGCCTGCGTAGTAGTAAACGTGACCACACTATTCTAAAGGGGTTGCAGCAGATGGTGCATCTGCGTGGCTGGTCCAGACGTGAACCAGGTCTCAGGGTGGACCCTGGAGCTGCTACGGGTTAGGAAATTGTCTGTGCCTTGAAACATCCCCTGCCTGGGTACCCAGCCGCTGGTGGGCCAAGGTGCTGGGGGTCAAGGAGGAACCCCATCTTCTGGTGCCACTCCGCCCACAGGCCACAGTGCATTACCACCTCTGCTTGCATCTCCTGAGTTATTTATAACATGGAATCACTAATGGAGTCTGTGGTAGACTGCTGCTGAACTCGGTGATGAGCACCCGTTTGTGCAATTGCCATAATAAATGTTGATGAGTTCCTTGGTGTGTGGCGTCTGATGAATTTGAGAGCAGATGTCGCTCCTTGTGGGGCGGTGACTTCTGTAGCCCTAGTCTATAGAGCACTTTCCATCTATGGCCACCTCTGGATTCCCCCACTCCCACCTTGCTTCTTCTTAGGGCGTGGATCTTTCTACCTTTTCCGTGGTTTTCCTTAGCTGTTTCTTGGAGCCTACAGTGCTTGCTTTGTTCTAGGCTACGTGTGTAGCCGCTCTGTTCCACCAGGGGGCATCAGTGCCTCAGTCCAGGTTGGGAGGTAGGTGTTCCTGTCACCTGATTGTTCCTGTCAGCCTGGTAGAGGGCTAACCGTTTTCTAAATGAGGAGGGAGGGAGGGAGGCGGGGAGCGAGGGCCGCAGGGCCCCCGGGGGGGGGCGCCCCACGGGGGGGGGGGGGGGGGCCGGCAAAGAGAATGTGTGTGTGTGTATGTGTGTATGTCTGTGTGTGTCTGTGTGTGTGTGTGTGTGTGTGTGTGTGTATGTCTGTGTGTGTGTCTGTGTCTGTCTCTGTCTCTGTCTCTGTCTCTGATACCAAGTAGCCTGCTATGGGTTTGGCTCTGTTCTCCAAGCACTCTCCGCTCAGCACTGTTGCAGAATGGTTACAACCCCCCCCCCCCCCCCAAGCTTAGGAGGCTGTGGGAGGCAGGCTCCTGGAAGTTTCCTCTAGTCAGCTCTCTGCCCTTTCTTCCTGGCAAGGTGATAGAGGTAGGTTGCCTGTGATAGATGCCTAGAGGTGTTAAGAATCACCAGGATTAAGGCATGTGTCTCCTCGTGTCCTCTCCACAGCTACCCCAGCCTTCCTTGCCCCAGGTTTAAACAGGAGGCAGGCCTGTTTCAGTGGAGCAATGACCAGGTTACACATGGAGACAGGACTGGGGCTTTGATCCACAGAGGCCCAGAGCTACAAGATTCCTGCACCATGCACTGCGGTGCTTGGAAGTCCTGAGGACTCAGCCAAGAGTTGCCAACTTCAGTTGAATGTACATTACCCTTCGCTCCTGGCTATACTTGAGTTGCCTGGCAGGAGTCCAGGACTAGGCACAGTCAGAATAAATTGCAGGTCGTACTGCAGCAGTCAAGTCACCTGCCTTGGGTTATACCAGAGTGCTGGCAGGGGCATAGGGCAAGTTTTCTAAGAAAGGCCTTGGAGAGCCACGTGGTCTGCATGAATCTCCCTCTGCCGTTCTTCCTTCCTTCCGGCTGCATTGCTAAGATGGCAACACACACTGTCCTAGGTCTTCTCTAGCTCCTCAGAAATAGTTGCCAGATCATTTGGCCTCTTGCTGCTCTTCAACAGTGACAGGCCCTGGGTACAGATTGGGCCGGAAGAGATCTAGCTTAGAGACCACTTGTTGGGGAAAGCCCTGAAGTGTCCTCCATCTCTGAGGCAGGGATTGCTGCCTAATGATCTAAGGAAGCTTCCTGTTAGGCTTTCAGTTTCTTTGACCTCTGTGAGGAGGAGGCACTAGAATTATCTGTATACAGATGCCTTCAGAGGTTGCCCAGTAACAGGAAAGTGGGCAGGAAGGTAGGGCACCCAGGAGTGGGAGGGTCAGTTCTTACTCTGTTCCATTGATGCAAAATGGAGACCCCAAGGCAACCCAGGTCACAACAGGGCAACCTTGGTGGCAGAGGAGATGTGTGCGATGAACTTCACAGTGGAGGAGCAGTGCTGGCTGAGGGCAGGATCCTGTGTCAGCCTAGATCTTGACAAGAGCTGTAAGGAATGAGATCGTTCCTCCTGGGCTATGTGACCTGGCAGGTCTTTTGGGAACACATCTCCCAGGCCCACATAGCTTGAGAGTTTGATGTGTATTCCTGCATGGAGGTCTTCCTTAGTCCTTCTCTGCCTAGACACATAGGGTCTCTCACTGAACCTGAGCTCGCTGACGTAGGTCAGCTGACCTGGGAGCTCTGCCTGGTTTTGCCTCTCCAGTGCTGGGATTTTAGGTGCTTGTTGGTATGCCCAGCTTTTTATGTGGGTGCTGGAGATCTGAAGTCAGATCCTCTTGACGACAATGCAAGCATTTTGCTGACCTAATTATCTCTCCAGCCCCACAAAAACAGTTTTCTAAAGATTCCTTTTCTGCCAAGCTTTTTGGTGCATTTTTCTGTTAAATCGGCTATGGAAGCTTTGAACCCACTGGTGGACATAAAGATCTTTACAAGAGAGACACCTGTGGGAGGCGTGGCTGCCCTGGATCCTGCTCCTCTCTAGTATCGGCCTCTTAGTTCCCTGTCAGGGGCCCCTTCACCCTACTAGGTGTGAGCAGGCATGTGGTAGAGCCTTCTCCTGGGCTCTTAGTGTGATTAGTGGAAGATACACAACCTAGGCTGTTAGAACAGAGCCCTAGGGCTGGAGAGATGACTCAGTAATTATGAGTGAATACTGCTCTTGCAGATGACCAGAGTTCAGTCCCCAACACCCTTATCAGGTGACACTCCAGCTTCAGGGGGTCTGACCCTGCACATCTATTCACAAAGACACATCATATACACAACTAGAAATGAATAGAAGTGAGGCTTGGGTGGGCAGAGGGTGTAGTAGGAAGGGCAGAATACTGAGCAGGCTTCTAGAGTGATGGTGAGCCTAGCTCCCCGATTCTCTGTCTCCCCAACCCCCATCTTCTAGTGACTCCTTATTGCTTTCCCAGAGTTGGCTGCTGTGTGTGGATCACTGAAAACTCTGCCTGGAGGCTTCATGGCCAAGGCACAACCTATCCCTAGGTTAAACTGGGGAGCAGGGTTAGGGTGGGGTGAGGGCTCTGGGGTACATGTCTTCCCCTAGCCCATAGTCAGGGATAGCTGAATGGTAGGGGAGACTCTTCTAGCTGCAGGGAATTATTTAGACTCTCGGAACATAACCGTCTCCATTGTACCGCTCCTTGCTTTGAAGGTTAGCTGACAGTGTCTGTGCTGGGGGTTTCTAACTACTGTGAAGAGTAAGAAGCCTAATGGGTGAGAATTGCCTGGGTGTCCCTTTATGCTGGGCTCTGGTGGGGACAGGGTACCAGTGCCCTTGCTGGCCAGCGGGCCTTGTGCTCTGGAGGGGAAGGTGTCTTTGGATGAGGACTGTGGAAGGCAGGGAAAATGAATCTCTCCTTGGCTCAGGTGACCAGCTGTGACTGTGGTCTCAATAGAAGGTGTGTGTGGGGGTGGGGCCCTGAACACAGCAGCCCGGAGTACTGAGTTCTTGAAACGTAGAAAAAACATTATTTACAAAGAATATATTAAAAATACACTCGAGAAATAAGTACTTGTAAGTATCCCACTTGGGTGTATCACTTCATTTGTTCATGGCGCCAGAGTCCAAGGAGAAAGCCAACCTGACTGGTCACTGCTCCCCAAAGGATTGGGACTCCTTTGGATACTGGAGTCTCTGTTTGCAAGGATTGGTTGCTTGTAGGCTTGGTCTGCTGAGTGTTGGCTCTTGGAGGAAGCAGCCAGGCTGTCGTGGCCATAGGGGATATAGGAGCTGGCCTGCCACTGCAGGGCCGGAGATCTTGTCCAAAGACCTTGACTTCTGTCCAAGTTCTGGCTGAGGTGGAAGTGGGCAGCACTCAGAGTGGTAAATGCTTCCTCAGGATGGAGGGATGTGCTTGGCCTTTGTTGCTGGCCTCAAGTTCTGTGAGCTGCAAAGGACACATGTCAGAGCATAGACATTGGCGCTGAGGAGGGGAACCCGAGGGGGGACATGGGGTTTGCTCTGGGCTCTTGTTTGGGGAGGCTGCTGTGTGGTGCTGGGGAGTTCTCCTTGTTTGAGGCACAGTGGATCTGAAGGCTGTGATTTCTCATGAACCCTTAGGCTCTGTGTGTGTGTGTGTGTGTGTGTGCACATGATGGGAGTACATATGTGTGCACTTGCATGTGGAGTTTAGAGGACAGCCTTGGGTATATTTTGGAAGCTCTTCTACTTTCTGTTGGAGACAGGGTCTGCCATTGGCCTGGAACTTGGCCACATAGGCTAAGCTAGCAAACTCACATGGTCTGTCTCTGTCTCCCATCGCACCATGGCTGGGATTACAAAGTGTGTGCCGTGATACCTGACTTTTTTGTGTTTTTAAAATATGGGTTTTGAGTTTCATACTCAGTTCCTCCTGCTTGTAAACCACTCCTTTACTGACAGCTCTCTTAATAGTATTCTCAGTGGCTTTTTATGATGGAATTTTACAGGATGGCTTTAAGATTAATGATTCTTCGACCATTTGGCCAGGTGGTTCCATCATCTAAAGTGTTGTTGCTGCTGTTCTCCACCCCCCCAATATATACATTTTATTTATTTATTTATTTATTTATTTATTTATTTATTTATTTAGAGACAGAGGCTTGCTGTGTATCTCTGGCTGGCCTGGAACTAGCTATGTGGACTAGATTCACCTTAAACTTGTGACTCTTCCTATGTGCTGGGATGACAGACTGATTCACTCTCCCCATTTATGTGAAGAAGATTCTAGGGGTCTCTGTCCATTATGGACAGTGGAGATGCTAGGTCCCCTGGGCTGGGGGGTAGGTCCTGGGTGTCAAGCACCAGGCAGGGATGGGCTCACCTTTTACAGTCTCTGAGCCACTTGCAGGTCATAGTCACTGTCAGAGGAGTTGTCAGGTTGTGTGGAAGAGCGGTGTAGGGCCCCTTCCAGAGCTAGAGAGAAAAGATTGCCTATTAAAGAAGTCCTGGAGGCTGCACAAGGCCCCAGGAGATGAATGGGTAGCAAGATCACAGAGGCTTCCTGAGATGGTGACAGCCCTGTATCAGTTTTGATCAGACTGGCCAAGTGTTCACTAATGATGCTGAACTTCAGGCCCCCTGGGAATTAATTGTGAGTGCCTGTGAGGAGCCAAGTATTGGAGGCTCCTGTGGACCACTTAATGGCTCTGTCCTGGCTCAGAGAGATCTGAGGGGCTCATTTATCATCTAGCCCCTCAAGGCCTGCAGGCAAACAGGCCCATTAGGCCACAGCAAGGCTGGGGTTAATGGCATCCATCCAACTG